ACAGCGTATCGTTTACATATAATATATATCCTTTGATGGATGGTAGGTATAATACAACGGCTGGTGTATTTCACCTTTGCTCTATATTGAAAACAAAATAACCGGACGAAGGAATATAAACATACAGTATAACAATCGCCATTTTTACGTGAAACCGTCAAGTAAAGAAAAAAAATAAGACCTTTTCTATCTTACTGATATACATGTCTATCAAGTATTTTATTACATTACGTTAAAAAAATGCCTAATTCAAATTACGGTTCACGTATACTTTAGTCTTTGTGATATTTTGTTTTAATCTGCTTAAACTCTGTAGTTAGGCATAAACTATCTCTACTATCTAGACTAGACTAGAAACGATAGAAGGCCGTGGGCCTTTAACCATTTAGTAAGGCTGTAATAGCTTTAATATAATCTCCGGGGCACAACGTCGATACCTCTTCCAATCTCCGGATTGGTACCAGAAATTTTCTTAGAGAAAACTTTACAAAGTTTACTCAAATTGTGATTTTTTGGTTTTTTGGTACGACTGTACCAGACTTACCATGGCCCACAATGAGAATATGGTAATTTATTGATTGTCATAGTAAAAAACAGGATTTACGACACATCATAAATTGTTTTAGAAAAGATCGTGCTTTTTAAAAGCGAATTTGTTAAAAGCCTTTTGACAACCATACCATAATCTTTTTTTACATAAGAATTTGTTACACTGTAAAAAACCTGGTCCTTCTAGTACATACATTAGAGAGACTAGTTTTTTTTCATAATCATATGATTTAAATAAAATATATGTTGACGGTTTAAAACGTGGAACAGCGATGGTCAGTTCTGTAAGGCCCCAGCTAGTTTTAGAAGGATAAATTAAACGACAAACCGTAAGACGAGTGGGTCGCCGTACCAACGGCTGAAGAAATATTTATATTTATAGCACTTAAATAGTATCTATATATATAGTTTACGCGGGTGTACACATTAAAAACACTTTAACGGTTTAAAATGGGATATATATTAGTCACCCCGTGACTACGGCTGCTGCAAAGTACGATGATTGTTAATGGGAGGTTTACATAATACAATTTAACGGTTTTAAACGCTATATATATTTGTTAAACCTAGTTGGAAATAATTTTAACTACGAAACGTCAGCCGGTAGTTAAAATAAGTTTCACTAATATCGCCTTTTAAGCCGTTGAAGTATTTTATTAATAGAACCTATTTTTTAATCACATCTTTAATTTTATTCGCCTATGATTTTAAAATGAGGCGCTAAAGAACATGCAAAGTTCTAATGAATTAACGAACTTAATTAATGCGGAAGTAGAAACTAAGTGCCGAGGAAACCTTCGAGGAGCGAATTTCCCAGCGCCTGAAGAAAAACTATTGCAATATCAATTTGCGTAAAATAATTTCTTGGAATTTTAAGACGAACGCTTGCGTGATTTTATAATGAACGTACAACACATTTTTAAGTATACACTTATTTTACTTTATTATTTCTTTGCTGACACATGTTGTGGAGCAGTTTTATAGTGACAGCTTAAAAAGTAAATTTAGAAATAAAAAATACTGTATATAGTTTACGCGAGTAGTAAACATTTAAATAAAACACTTTAACGGGTCTCCCGTGACCACGGCTGCTGCAAAGCATCCGAAACATCGGACCGAAGTTAAAAATCATTTTCAAATAAGTTTAACTAATATATCGCGTTTTAAACCGTAAAAGTATTTTATTTAAATTAGAAATAAAATTAAATTGGATTTTTAAAAAATAGATTCTGATTTATTGTTTGGTTTTTAATAAAACCTAAAATTGATAGTTTATTTTATATTAGAGGAGAACAGACAAGCATGAGGTAGACTTGATTGACCTCAGCCACTTAAACAAGATGTGCTATAGACATATTTTAGCTCTGAAAAATCTGAAATCCACAGACTGAAACCGAAGCGCGATTAAACTCGACAGACTTTTTCATTTGCGGACGGTGGTTCGTGACTCGGGCTGAATGAGTCTGATGAGTCATGTTGCAGGAACATTATAAATTGATAAGAAAAATGTTGGATCTGGTAGATTATTAGTTATTAGATTACTACCATTAAACTAACGAGCCCGTCTAAAGAAGTTACCTTTTTAAATGTTTTTTTCTACTAACGGTGTGTTTGTTATTATTTTAAATAACAAACTATACTATTACCATACTAAGTACATGATTATTCTTTTAAATCTAAAAAGAAAATACGTCCCAAATAGAGTTGACAAAGAGCTGAATAAATTTAATTAGAATATTGTATCTTTTTTTCATATATTTTCATTTACCTAAAAACTGATGTGAAAACGAAATGTGAAATGTTTTAACAGCTGCGGTATATTATAATTAAACTCCTTCATCGCTTTGTATAAAATTGTAGGAGAGATATTCTGTTTTATTTTAATTTCCAACAGCCCGCTCGTGTCGAAATTGTAATTATAATATACCAATCTGCCGCCTGGTCAAAAATAATAGCAAAGACTAGAAATATAAAATCCATCTTAGGCACTAGGCGTAATAAATCAAAGTGATTTATTAGACTTTCAAAACTATTATTTAACGACCGGCATTTTAGTATTTTCTTAACATTACTATCAATAATTATTATGTTACTTGAATTTCATATACCCATATAAAAAAAGAGTGTTCTAATAAATATACAATGGAAAAATAATACGACATGGGTAGGATTCAAACCGGGATCCACAGCGTTGCATGCTGTTGCTCTAACCAATTGAACTACCGTGTCTTACACGTCATTATCGATTTTTTCGACCTATTGAATGATTTGTGTCTAGCGCACTGTAATTTCAACCTTACTACTTGCTCAATTAAGGTTTATTTTTCACGTATTAAAAACACTGTATAATCTGTATATTTTTCAACTGCTGTGGTTTTCGTTATTAAACTATTGGGTCTCACATTCATTACGATGCATATCCCGCTTTTTTGCCCACTATCCCGCTTGATGGTAGGCGGATGCAGGCTAACTAAATTACGCTGACCTTTTAAAAGCCTATTTGAATTTCGCTTAAAGCTTGCTATATTAAATTCATAGGGAAAAACAAAACGGTGGGAGTAAATTCATGATCTGTCAAAATCGGACTCTTGGAATTTCAGCCAGATAATGATCGATGTAGATTGGGAGAAAGAGGTATTAGATAGTAAAGCACCGACGCGTATTTGCCAAAACGTAGCGAATAAAAAACCAATAGAGTAAAAACAAAAAAGTTGGCTTAAAAATATAATTATCAGTACAAAAGTCCCCTTTATTGGCAAAGTTTTTCAAACCAACTTTTCTTATAATTCTTTCTTTAAAGTCGAACAGAAACAGCTAACAATTTACCACCCACGGCTAAGTTAAATAAAGGTAAGTTTTAAGTTATAGAGCTTTGTTTTTATCGGTCCTTGAGTATTTCTCCGTTAGACCTTCAGTTCACTAATAATAAATTTGTTTTGGAAAGTAGGACTATGGAATAATTTCTATTATTTCTTAAATACCGTCTGTAGTTTACGCTAGTAGTACACATTTAACTAAAACGATTCAACAGTTTAATCAACGCCATATATATTAGTTAAACTTATTTAAAAATTATTTTAACTGTGGCCCGACCACGGCAACGGCGGCAGCGGGCCACGGCAAGTTTAACTCGTACATGTCGCGATTTAAACCGTTAAAGTGTTTTATTTATATCAGTTATTCCGAGGGAACAGACAGCGTGCGGTTCACTTAGTAAAACGTCAAACGCCCTATTTTGTTTGGGATGTCTACAGATGGTATAAATTTGACATTGATTTATGTCTTGTAATTGACATATCTGACAATTGACTGGCCTTTAAAAAAACTATTATCGTTTATATTATTTCGCATTACGTATTCTTTATCTTCGTTTATATTGTATACCCAAATAAAACTATACCTCCTGCCGTATAATACAAATAAATTGAGGGTAATCGTAACGGATTGCAACCCTTCGTTGGACGTAATCCATTGACAAGTTTGCTAAGAATAAATTACAAGGGAAAATAGCGTGCCACTCACTTTGCGGCTTTGGTGACATTGCACAAAGGAATATAACTTATAATCCTCTACTTTGGAGTGAAATTGTTAGACTTATTGTGTTAGAAGTGCTGTAGTGACACTTGACTGCAAATCAAATGGGGTCCTTTTTCCGGACTTTCGCGGTCATAAATTTTATAAGCAGGATCTATCTTATTAAAACACAGATTAATTTAATAACATTAATTCGACGTAATACAGTTTTGTACACAGTATAAAGTAAATAAATTATTATAAATAAGCAATAAATAACTACAAATAAAAATAAATTAGCTTAAACTTACAGATTTACAGAAATAAATGCTCGGGTCTCATATCATCTATGGTTGACATAATTTTGTTCTATGAACAAAGCTGTTTTTATTCGTGTTTTTCACCTGAAATGAGCTTCCTGAAAATTGTGATACTTATTCTATTATAAATTATATTGAAACAAAAATTTGTTCAACGAATTACTAATAAAGAATTAAATATGTATACCTATGTTTAATTATTCATTAGCAGCAATACAATTTATTACAACTTCTACCTCAAGTAGGTGGGCAATCTTTTGAATCTAAAACTTAGTCGTAACATAACTTCCAATGATACACGAACACAAGACTTAGTTATATCTATCGTATTTATGTTTGCATTACACAGTTTTCGCAAAAATCGATGGTTAAATCATATTAACAATAATTATTTGTCGCCGTAGTCGTAAATTAGAAAATTAACGACCATGAATATAATTAAAATTTGATTGGTGTTTGGTGAATTCTTAATAAAATTAGAAGAGCATTTCCTTGCTGGTGGGGTGACAGAATAAAGTCTACAATATCTCTACGAAGTGATAAATTCTTATAGAATATAAATATTCGTTACGTTACGCGTTGCCAGTCTGTTATTATGAACACTTCTTTCTGTCTGTCCTACGCCGCGGTACCAGGAGCGGTGAAGTAAGCAGGAGCTGGTGTGGGCCTATGTTTGGAGATTGTATAGGCTCTGTTTGAAGGCCAATCCTTGCTGTACCCCCCTCCAGCGGAATAAGCATAGGCGTTGGAGTAATCCGAGTTGTAATCAGACGAGTCACTGCCGAAGTATGAATAGTGCGTCATAGGGTGGTGGTGCTAAAACAAAACAAAAGAAAATCACATTTTTTTTTAAGCGGATTGCATGATTTTACCCCAATTGCTTAGCATCAAGATTAGACGAGCTCGTCAAATTGATATTTTTTCTGAAACATGTTGCTCTTCACGGTATCTAACGGATACGGTCACAAAAAAAAATTGTAATGCACTCAAAGTACGTGAAGGCTGTAAAAAACAAAAATGGCGATAAAAGGAGTGTCGGCGATTTTCTTGGCAGTTCTTCGCGCTTGATTTGAGAACTGGTAGTAAATGTAACGTAATTTTCTTTAGTTTTATGACGTTCATAATTATACCTAGGTACCTACATGAATAAATGATTTTTAACTTTTAATATCTTGATTAAGCTATGTCAAGCAAGAAAGCAATGTGGTATTTAAACTTTGATAACATACCTAATGAAAGTTGAGTTTTAGCTCCGTAAAACGCAAGATATGAGGAAGTTTTCAAACTTATGCGGGTCTAAGATTTCAGTATAAATTAATATGAATGCTTGATTTAATTAATAGTTCGGTAGTTTGAAACGTATGGGAGCTTATGAGACTCGGTTGAAAGTTGTGGGTTTTAATGTACTTCAGAATCCATTATAACTACCCCTGGTAGATCATCACGCATTTGGTAAATTTATATTTGTTTTGTGAAAAAGTTTTGATTAAGTTATTCATTTTAAGATTATTTATGAGGAGGACAGACACGCTTGAAGTTCACTTGTTGGATTATGTAATACCCCAGCCATATAATGTCTTAATAAGTATTTTGGCTTTGGATATTCAGAAATCCACAAATAGAAAATGCCTACCCGTGACCAAGGCTGCTGCAAAGCATCCGAAACGTCGGACCGAAGTTGAAAATCAATTTCAAATAAGTTTAACTAATATATCGCGTTTTAAACCGTTAAAGTGTTTTATTTAAATGTGAACTACTCGCGTCAACTATAGACAGTATTTAACTGAAACGCGAATAAACTTCACGGATTTTTCATCTGTGGGCGGTGGTTCGTGACCTGTATAAAATAACTTTAAAAGGTATCGATATTGCCTGAAGTTACTCGAGTAGTAAATTTCAATAAAACATTTTTAACTGTTTAAAACGCGAAAAGAAAATATATTTAGCATTTTGAACCAATAAAAGTGTTTCTCTTAATGTATATATTAATATTCAGTCATTCTGTTTATAACCAAATGTTACTGTTGCATGTAACTGGTTCGATTCGTCTCAAGGCGAAGGTTTTCTAAAATGGAATTAAACTATTCAAGTATACTAATACACTAGAGTTATTTGAACAGTCATTTATATTAGTATGAGATTCGTAGGAAATAGTACTATATTTATAATATATATGCGCATTAAAAGGATCGCATTTGCTGATAGTGTATCGCGTGTGATTTAGCTTCTGTTTTACATTTGTTTAAAAAGGCTTACAACTTTCAAGTGGCGTTGGATTACATGAAACAGATGGTTTTCATGACGGTACAACTAAAAGTATACTTGTATAGGGATTTTAAAACATTGTCGGACTTTAATAAAGATCAAATAAAAATAATACCCAGTGTTTCCTCTGCGGGACGGTGGCAAACAGAAAGAGAACAGAGAAGCTCGGGCTACACTTGATGGAAGGGTCTCAGTCATATAACATTTTGATAAGTCGGGCTAAGCTTAGCATATTCAAAAATCCACAGACTCCAGACGCAAATAATTTTTAGCTTTTGTATAATATGGCCGACGTAACTTGGCAAATCTGATCTTAGAGCGAAACGCTGCACAGAAATTCTCCTTAACATTTAATTAGGATGTTAACCGTGGTAAGAGCGAGGTGCGCGGGACAGAGATCAAGGCTAGAGATTGACCCTTTATCAACACAATCGACAGTGTATTCTATTAACTTTCATAATCGATTTTTATAGATATAGATTATGAATTTTTAACCATATGGGATATTGTTGTAAATGGATTCAAGAGCACAGTGAATGGCGTTATTAATAAATGATACCATGTTTACTTTAAAAGAAAATAAAATAAATTAAAAACTTGTTTTTCTTTATTGAACGACGTGATTTAGTTAAATATGAGTTACTATTAATATAATTACTATTTTTACTTTCTTTGAAGCTTTTATTGCAAATATATTTCTACGATCCAATTTTGTCTATTTCTATAGGAATCGATTAAACGACACTCTTAAGGAACGAATATGGACATCTCTATTTGGTTATTTCGTAAAGCTTCGTACATATTCAGTAATGTTTGGTAAACAGTAGTGTGTCTCGGTCACTCCTTGGCGTTAATTTCGTTATACATAATAATACAATAATATAATTATAGTCTTGAGCACAGTCCGTTAGAAAAGTGATTGTTTTTTTATTAAATTTGGCACTATTCTTTTTCTTTTGTTATATTATTGTTTTGTCTCAGTATTTTAGTGAAAGATATGTGTTCGTAGCTCCTATTCTCTTTAAATCGATTATTAGTATGTTACTGCTTGCTTGCTATATGTAAAATCTTTCATTCATCCCAGTAACGAAAATAAATGGCAGTATTACTTTTCTTTACGAGTGTACACGCGCCATAGTTTGTCTAACCTATTTTCAGACTTGCCAAGTTACGTCGGCCGTATTATATCTGTGGATGGCGGTTCTTGACCCGGAAGGACTTTTTTTATTTTCCTACCACATTTTGAATATCTGATATTCCAAACAAAACAAACATCTACTAACAATAAAAATTTGACTAAAAACATGTTTGTCGATGAGGAACAAACCCACGACCCGTTAATTATTAGCCCTACATTTCTACCATTAAACGCATGAGACCTGTGTCCGTATCACCGATTTTTACAAGCAAGTATTAGACCCAAATGAAACTATTATGTTTTAACCTTGACCGGTTATTTTATTGTAACGCGAAACAAAGAAACATTATAATTGTAACACTATGTATCAATAAGTCTACGATACAACATACTATGTGTTATGTATAATATACGATTGTGTTCTAGGATATAGCTTTGTAAACTATGCAGAGAAACCATAATCGTATTAAGCTACAATACGTTATCAATAGTAATTATTATCCAGTCAAACACAGATCGCATTTAATTCTAGGTATTAACTAAATACACTTCAAAGGCTAAATCCCATTATCTAATAAATATTAATATATCGCTACTTTTTCGTTTTTAGGTTATATAGGGATTACGTGGAAAAGTATCTCAAAGATTTCACTTGTCCGGACGAGGAGGAATATTTGAGTCAAAGTAGGGAATTTGATACACTATTCAAGAACACGCTGGACGTGATTTAATCACTAAAAATCTATATTTTCGGGACCAACACGTTCTTAATCAAATAATTTTCGGTACATGTTGGACTCGTCTGGAAAGTCCAAATAATTAGTGGGTGGTAGGAAACATAAAAAATTCCATCCGTGTCGTAACACAACCTCCACAGACAAGCTAAAGATTTAACGCGTTTTATGTCTGTCGATTTGGGTGTGCCGAAATAGGCCGACAGCGCATCTTGTTGAAATTTTATGAGCGTAGGGTATTTTACCTTTCTTTCAGAGAGCTCTATGCGTATCTGTCATCTTCATAAAAAAGTACTTGTCAGCAATAATTGTTTGTACGAGGTGAAAAGATAGCGCCACAGCTCATTTGATACCCGTTTCGCTTTCACTCATAACGGACACAGATATGTGTCTGAATTTCACTTATTACTTGACAACAGTATCTTCATATACATATGTATGTTTCCTACATAGGTATGTAGGTACTTAGGGGTTTCTGAACTAACTGGTATCTTAGATTAAGGAAACTCAAATAATATGAACGTCGAACTAATTTAAGACGTTATAGAATTAAAACAGGCTAGTATTAACTTAAGCACGATAAGCCCTAGGTTTGAATTCCGGGGAAACAATAGTTTCGGTCGAACAGTACACAAACTGACAACTAGCTTATAAACAAATGCGATTACTATAACGAAATTAAACAAGTAACGAACGTTACACACCGTTATTCACCGTTACAAACTTTGCATTTTATTTATTTATTTTATTCATTCAAAATTTTACATTTATTTGTAACATAAAAAAGCGTCAACAAAAACCGTAACCCTCTCGTCTCATTACACATATTATATTACGATAAGCAGTAAACAAGCAAGTCGCAACATTAATTGGAACGTATTTGGAGGGAGTAGATTTTTTTTAGTTTGGTTTTTATATTTTTTGTGGCAAGTGATCATTTTAGGTACGACATAGTCCAGTGTTCTTTTACCATATAGGTTGTTGATATAAGACTAAACTTTATATGTACTGACCTTGCATGCTTTCAATGTACTAAGTAGACTTGGCAGCAGCAAAGCAGCAACTAAAAGCAACTTTTTGATCAGCATCACAGCCAGCAAGATTGGAATTAACAACATTTTCGTCTTCAATGTTGCCAGTAAGTTAAGAAAGGGAATCATAATTGCCAGCTTCTTCTTCTTTCCACGACCTGAAATGAGGCGTAAAGTAGTTAAATGTTAAACATTATTTATGTTAGAGTTAGTTTATTTAACATTACATATAAAAAAGTTACGAATATAACAATAAATACTAAATCTTATGAATAAAATAACACATAAAAATAGGATGATTTATTGGACTCATAGGCGTAATAGTAGCGTAATGTGTGGTTAATAATCGTGGGTTCGATTCCCACCGCGTCCAACATTTTTCTGATCAATTTATAATTTTTATGAATCATGTTGGACTTCGTATAGAAAGCTGGATATTAAATAGTTGGTAGAAATATCGAAATTCCGTCTGGGTCACGAATCACCATCCACAGATTAAAAACGCCGTGAAGTTTAATCACGTCTCAGTTTCAATCTGTAGATTTCCGAATATCGTAAGCCAAATAAGTTATATAGCCTTAAAGCCTTTCTTTAGTAGTAGAGATCGACGCGTTTAAACTAACAAAAATATCAAATCTTTACCTTTATAGAGGTATAGATGTATTCGAACTATTTGGTCTGAATAATTGAATGCTATAAATGTAGTACAAACATAATGCTTTAACGAAAATAATTGGACCGTGGCGTGGGATTCTGGCTTAGGTTAAGTTGGGTCGATTTGGAACCAATGTGCATGTAATGACATCAATTATAACTGTTTTTTATTTTTGGGTAAAGGTCGAATTAGCCAGGTTTAGTTTTGTCGAGAAAGACGCTTTTCCTTCTTCGAATCTAAATAAACTCTAATATTTCTAAATTAGGAATCTGCACGTTTACATATTTAGAAGGCTGAAAGCGACGGCCGGGTCTTCTACGTCAAACAAAGTACTTGCCGAACCTAGAATATTTTGTTATTATTTTAGGGAGTCTAAACATAAATTATCTTGTTGTTCGGCCAAAAGCTCGCAACCAGATTTTGCCCCCTCTATAGGGAGAGTAGTAACATATATAATAATAACAATAATTAATTTGTACTTATTTTGCCCAAATATAAATTTCTTTCTTATATATATACAATAAGTAGCTGCTAGGCATATTGACAAGTCATTATTATCATAAAATCGAGATATAGATAATATTCAAATAGAAGACTTAACTGTTTAAAACGCGAAATAACAGTGGTAACTAACAGTGGGGGACTGAAGATGGAAGGTGAGTCTGCCCATCTTTAGTCTCCCCGTGATCACGACTGCTGCAAAGCATCCATGACGCCAAGCCGTAGTTTAATTAAATAAAATATAAGTTGTTTCTTTTATAACTTGTATTTGTGTTGTGTTATATTATAACTTGTACTACTCGCGTAAACTACAGCAGCGCACGAGTTTCGTTTTAAGCCAACAAGGGAAAGCGATTTAAGTTATTTTACAGAAACCTGTGTAAAGTATCTTATAAATCCCTTCCAAAAATACAAGTAAAAAGTCCTGTACTTAAAATGCTATCACTCAGAAAGAAGATACAACGCAATATAAGAACATCACAGTCTAATTAAGAAATTACCATTTTCCTTGACGACTTTTTATGAATTAACTTGTTCGCTTGCTCGGGACTTGTTCATAAAATATGTACTATTAACAGGTGTTTTGATTTGACGCTATATGGAAACCGATCTTTATCAATACTAATGTTATTCTTAATACGAACAACCTTTCTCTATAGAAAAATAAAATCCCATTGTTTCTAGTCAATATATAACTTTTCTGAAACATGTTCGACTTCGTCTGGATATCTGCATAATAAATAGGTGGTAGAAATATCGAAATTCGCCCGGGTCGCCAGAATAGATCAGCGCATCTACTTTGTATGTCATATGGCTGAGGGATTTCACCTCCCTTTTGCGACCATGTTCAATTGTTTTACAGTATACCCACCTGTTCTACGTGCGCATAATAGTTAATTTAACCGTAAGTTAAATTAACATATTTCGTTATATTCCGTTGTGTGTTTAATTAAGTGAGCCATTATTTTAATTTTAATTTGTTTATTTATCATATCATTGTCTTTAGGGCTGTTCGGCCGAGCGAGAAGAGGTTCTCGACGTTTCGCCATCACGTGTGGACGGCATCATCAGGAGATGTTAACTTACAATGATATGCTGAACGATGGCCGTGAAAGCCTTACACAATTTTTTTTGTTTATTTATATACATCGAATACTGTGCGTAATTTACGCGAGTAGCACACATTAAAATCAAACACTTTAACGGTTTAAAAATTTTAGTCTCCTATGTGAGTCTCCCCGTGACGACGGCTGACGCGTCAGATTAAAATATTTTTCAATCAATTTTAATTTAAATATATCGCGTTTTAATCTGTTAACTGTTTTATTTAAATATAAACATCGTCTTAAAAAACACGCATTTAACGGTTTAAAACGAGAAATGTATCAACTGGTCATTGTTGATATATTTTGCGTTTGAAACCAATTAAAGTGTTCTATTTAAATGTGTACTACCCGCCTAAATTACAGACACTACTCAACTTTGTCACACAGCTCTTTAAAGTTTTGCAACACTACATTAATATCTTACCGTCATCTCCGTTTTCGGGTTCCTCAATAGTTCTAGAACCGGGCGGCAAATTGACCCTCAACCCTCTCATCTTAAAGAACTCCCGAATCAAACCCATAAAGTACTTCGCGATTTCCGTCCATTCAGAAATAATACTCCTCTGACCGTCGAGAAAATCGACTTCTTCTGTTAGATTGAAATTAGTTTCCTCGCGTAAAGGCACAAAGCTTATGACGTCATTGGCGACGATAGTGTCGTTATTGTTCATATCACCGAAAATTGTTTTCTTCGCTAGTTTGAGGGCTTTATACTTCACACAAGATAGCGCTTCGCCCTGGAGGATACAGCTGTCTTTGACGCGGCGTAAATAACGGTCTTCAGCGCAGACTTGAGTGATAAATATTATCGATAGGAGGGTTCGCCATGCCGCCATTTTGCTGAAATATTAGGTTTCGTTATTAACTGCCTCTGTAGCCAAATGGTTAAACGTGTTGCCTACCATTGCGATAAGCGAGAGAGGATCTGGATTCAAATTCCAGCGAAACAATAGACTGTTTGGGTGAGCTGGGCACAGAAATATGATCGATTACTTGCTTTTAAAACAAGCGACCTGGAAACGAACACAATTTTTGCTCTATACATAACTTACAATCTATATTAGAATATATTCTTACTTCTCAAAATTAGTTTATGGCCTGAACTAATTATTGGTGGTATTTTTTTTATAAACAAATAATTTATTTTACTAAGAGCATTATAATTCATGCTTTAAATTCTATATATGTAATAAGATTCCCTAGTTTAGTTCTCTATTCGTAACTATATATACAAAATCCACGAAATAACTATTTAAAATATTAAATATTTGACCAGCCTACAAAATTAAATTTATGGTTGAAGAACTTAGTAGAAAAGATTTCAACCTAACTTGGCAAAAGGTTTATTAAAATAACGATACATCTAATACACGTCTGTAGGAAAATTACGCTACTGAAATTTTCGCACAAAATATGAAAATCTCAAAACAGGCAAGATTAATTAAACCTTCCCTTTAATATTACAATATTTTGTAAGAAGCGTGTAGGAAAAATCCACATCGAGGAAACAGTATTTTCCGGAAAATTTTAATTCGTGGATCTTGTCTATTAATTTGAAATGAACCGACGAAAATTCTCATACATTCGTGCGGTTGGACAGTTTTGAACTGTTCGAGGTTATTCAAAAGCAAGTTTTTATTACGAGGCACATTATTATAAAGTTGACGACTATTTTATTTTTGTGAGAATCAATCTAATTTATATAATAGAGAATATATTAATTTGAAAATTTCTGAAAAAACGAAGGAAAGAACATAAAAATTTCTCATTCTTCGAATTTCTAGATATAAAGTCGACGGTATCGATTTTTTTTTCATCTTAAACACGCAATTGGAAACCCTCGAATGAATAATAACCACTTATTTCACTATCACTTTTATTATAGTAGCTCCCTCTTAACATTGTTTTCTTTCCAAAAATATTTAATATCTTGTTGAAAACCTATGTAAAATGTGACTAGCGATCTAAACTTTTATAATTAGCCCGCTGGGGACTTTTAATTATTTTCATTAAAAGTTTGTATCGGTAAAGGTTAGTAATAAAAAAGTTCGAGGGCTGTCAGATTGGCATTGCATTAATTAAAAGTCGATTAACGGTGTCGCCATAAGGAGATGAGACATATAAATTGTAAAGTATTTAGAGCGATGACACAGATGGAAATCGAATTCACAACGAAATGTATCGTTGCTCTAACCACTAAACTACAGCGACTTCATAAGTACTCTATAAATTAGCTTAATTTAATATTAAAAACCAGTTTACAGTGATAGTCGTGGAGTCGATTCCTGCCTGTGTTATTGGTTTTTAAAATATTCCATAATACTATAGACACACTTTTTCTTTGTAATAATTAATCGTAAAACTACGAAAAATTGCGCAAATTTGAAACACTCTAATTTACATAAAATATCACTATAGTAAGATGACGATTAAACTAGATTAGAATTACTAGCGCCATCTCTTAACCTTTTACACTTACTTTAAATCACTTCACTTTTCACAAAATAAATCCTTATTAAATATGCGTGCGCGTCGATCTACGAAAGATCAATGTCAATAACGGCCGCTGATTCGCTATATAAATGATCTAGGATCGATCAGTCAAGCAGTGGAACCGAGTTAATGTGATCTGGATGGTTTCGAAATCGTCAATTGCTATAGATTTCACGCGGTTTTACTTGAAATTAATAAATATGTTAAATTTGTATGAACAGATTTCATCTTTCATATGCACACAAATATGCGTGTCTACACTAAATATAACATCATAATATAAAGAAAAAACTTTAACGGTTTAAAACGCGATTTATTTTAGTTAAACTTTTTTGGAAATTACTTTAACTACGGCCAGACTTTTATTAAGGATTTATGAATGACCTAAGAAAAGGTCGACAACACATAGCGCAAACTAATCAACTACTTTCATGTATTTGACTGCTGTCTATGAGTTAAACGGACACAGATATGTGTCTGCATCATGCTTACCTTGTCGTAAACGGTAATCGTTTTTATGTCCATTTGTTAGTAATAAAGATATTATATTCCTTAATTAGTATAGTGTAAAATATAGCGTCGTAATTTCTCATCACGTTTCATGATATAAACTTTACGAACGGACGGACAAATTAATAAAAGTTTGCTATAAGTTAGCCGCGTTGAAATTTAATAAGACCACATTTTCTTTCCTACTATATCGACTTACACTTGCATTTTCTATAGCTTTTCATATTTAAGGTCATTGACGTAAGGCACATAATTAAAATTAGACTTTAAACTGAACAGATCTATACTAAGATATAAAGCTGGTGAGTTTGTTTGTTTGGACGCGCTAATCTCAGGAACTACCTAACAAAAACCTTCGGTTTCAGCATTTATCGAGGTAGCCTATAAGACATACCTGTGACTAATAGGAGCGAAGAAGCAAAATGGGGGAAATGTATTCTTCATTGTGGGTTTCCGATGCGTACGCTGCAAAAAGGGTTGAAGGTACCTAAAAAATTTGTACGAAGGAATGTCTTCTATGATTCCTCTAAATATAAGTCTATCTCTAAAGATTTACTCGCGAGAACGACGAGTGGCGACCGACGTCGTGGATAACAACTTGACTTTATAAAGATGAAGAGCAGATTTGTATGCCCAAAATAACCATTGTTCGCGGACGAAGTCTCTGGCACAGCTAGTGTTAATGTATTTTTTAATTAATTGAGAGATACGAATATTTGAATGTTATTTTAAAGAATTGAGATAGATAATGGAGACACGTTTTTATTTCGATAAAAGCACCGATTTGAAACGAAATTTTAAGTTATTGCGAGTGAATTTTGCGGTTTCAAAGGGCCGGAAACAGTCAATTTCAAATTGAACTTCTCATTTTCACTTTGAGTTACAAGTGTGTCATATTTCCCTTTTACGTTTCTGTGTGGAAAATATTAAATCGCATAACGTGTTGCATTGATTTCACTTAGCTCAAAAAGTCCAAGGTTCGAATTCAAAACAATAAATAAGCTAATAGCGATGTTAATCTATTTGGCAAACAAACAAATAAATTGGTTTCCATCGGATACGGGCACAGAAGTCTGATGAACTTGTCTACAAAACGAGACGGGACTTATCCAAAATATTTTACGAAGTGTAAGAGATTGTAGTTATTCTATACACATTGGAAAATCCGTGTATCCGATTTCCTAACAAAGCGTAGCTTTACCACTAGGTACTAATCTAATGTTCCATTCGCGTAAGTTATTTTTCTCCGTGTTTATATAAAATATACACAGATGTTTCTTTATTTTATCTCCTTATTCTGAATTACTTTTTAATGAATACATTATTTTGTATAAAAATGTATAAAAATAATTTTCAAACAAGTTTAACTAAAATATATCGCGTTTTAAACCGTTAAAGTGTTTTCTCCTGGTTGATAGTTATAATGTTTAAAATGTAAAAAAAAGAAGTTATAAGTAGGCAAAGAAACATGAGCATCTTCTAAATTAAGAACCGATTATAAATTGAAAAAATTACGACTCTGGCAGGACTTGAACCGACATCCACAGCGTTACGTGCTGTTGTTCTAACCAATTGAGCTACCGAGTCCTACACGTCATTGTCGGTTTTTTTCAATCTATTACATGCACCTCTCGCTTAATAAAATTTCAACCTAAACACTTGCTTGAGCATTTTCCGCAATCATTTAAGAAATGTCGATAAGGTTTTTCACTCAAACCACGAAGTTAAAATAATTTAAGGCTTCGGAGTTGTGACTAGTAAACTAATCGGCACTGGAACACAACTCTCACTCAAGTTAATAACAACAAAATTGCAGTACGTTTATACGCAGTTTCACGATCCCGAGAAATTTAAATACAAACTATAGATTGACTATGACTAATAATTATACTGTGCTCGAATTGTAACGAGACTAGTATTAAAAGAAATTATAATATAATATAACCAGAGAGTAAATCTCTTGTTCATTTTGATTCTCTATCTGTGTTTATCGTGGTCAGTATGAAATCACGTTTCCGCTGACGGGGCATGTGGCGGGGGGGGGGGTCGCACCTGTCTGTTTAACTCACAGGCAAGTGGTTAATCAGACTTCCGTGTCCTACGCGACTGAAAATATGTATTATTTTCCCAGAATTCAAATCCAGGACCTTCCTAACACATTAATAAGATAACTTAATTTTAATTTACTTTAATTACGGGTCGAATTTTCGGTTGTTTTGTAGTATAAGGGTTAAGTGTTTTATTTTTAAGTATAACTCAAATATTTTTAAACTGATAAAACTTGTTCTTGGTTAAATAAAAGTATACCAAGCCATTATCAGGAAGTCGCCAAGCAATGAAATTCTGGCATAATATTTTGTTCAATGCCTAATAAAAATATGTTTCACATTTGAGATTTGGTTTTCCAGAGGTAACAAACCTTTTTTATATTATTATAAGTAGAGCATACATTATCATCTATATTGTTTGTAACTTAGTCGTGCTTTGTATAACGGCCCAAATTTGATATAAAAATAATACAATTCTTCAGGACACGGCTGATCTTGCTGTAGATAAAAATTTTCGCTCCAAAACAAGCAGAAACGACTCAATCTCATTCTACACTGATTTCATACGGTACTCAATATACACCGTACAGTGGTTAAGTACAATACACAGTAGAATTTCTATAGAAAATCAATCACTATTCAGTACAAGCTGAATTGTCGGGTGCAGTTCATAGAATTCCGGGAATATTAATATGTTCACTGGTCCGAATTATTTGTTGATATGCTACTGGTGTAACATTTCATTTAAATAAAACACTTTTAATGGTTTTCATATTATCGACAACCTCTATCTTCAGTGATTACGGCTGCTGCAAAACCGTAGTTAAAATAAATTGAAAATAAGTCAAATATTACATTTCGTGTTTTAAACCGTTAAAAGTGTTATAATAGAATGAAACATTTCAAATTTTCTTAAACATATACATAAGGTAGAATAGAATAGAATAGAAGACATTTATTCGGAAACAACACAAGACATCTAACAAACACAACAAAAAAAAAAATCATTACAAAAAAAATATATACATTCATGACATTTGATTTCTGTCAGTTTTGCTTAAGATATTTTTTGTCTACTTAACTACTATAGCTATATTTTACATATTTTTTAGCTGTTTATTCAAATGTAAAAGTAACTTTTTTTTCATAATAGAGGGGTAGAGACAAGTATGGGCTTCTTTTTGATAGAATGTGAAATAGCCCCGCAATATAACATCTCACAAGATGCACTGTCGACCTATATTGGCTTTGGAAATTCGACAATCCAAAGACTGAAACCGAAAGGCGGTTACACTTTGCTTTATCTTTTTCATCTGTGGACGGTGCTGCCATACCACCAAGAATGCTAGATGAACATGTTTCAGAAAAATTATAAAGTGAATGGAAACGTGTGTGACCCGTACCCACATGCCATTGATTATTATTAGAGATCGTCAAAAACTACACTGTAATGTCCCTGAAAACCCTTTAAACTTCAACTTAGCCTTTTTCTTTAACAACCTGTTAAATGAGCAATTAAGAATAGACCACTTCAACGTTACAATTTCGTGAATTCTGGCACCGGTCCATGGCTACATGCCATTTTGGTAAAAGCTCAGAACAATCAACGTAATTTAATATTTTTTACATTAACATAATGTAACATTCTACTTAAGACACACTACAAAAAATGTTGCTCACTTCTGACAGAAATATTTATTCCAGTTATGTTTCAACATTATGAAAACTCGCTCAGGTAGAGTATTATTTACGTTCTACTGGATAAGAAATAGCATATTTGTAAACTTTTTCCTATATTTGTTTCCTTTATAAACTCAGTATAACTTTAGTATACAAGTAGAGCTGATATTTGCGGTTACATCTGTACTTTACGCGTGTGGTACATAAACATAAAAATCTTTTTAACGGTTCAAATCGAGAAGAGACGGGTGCTTTAAGCATCGGAAACGTCGGGTCATACACATTAAAATCATCGTCGTCTAGAGAGATAGAGAACACTTGATACATGAGAAATGTTTTAAGGTAGTAAATTTTATTTATTTTAACAATAAAATAATAAAACATATTTTTTTCAGTATTATGTCTCTTCCTGTTCTATGTAGCCGTTATGGGAAAATATCGAAAGCCTCAAATCAAGTACCCAAAAGACACAGTTTTCTGGGCGACAGATTTCTTTGTTAAAGGCTGCAGAAATTTTCTGGATAACTGCCCGTCTGGATACAAGTAAGGAACTTATTACATTGGGATAGATAGTTATAAAACAAAAGAAAGTCGCGCACGGTTCACGTCAGTTATTTTCATCTTTAGACAATATAATGTGTCATTTTATAAGTCGTGTCTCTACTACTACTTTTACATTTTTAATATAATGATATATTTATGTTATCTATTTATACATGCAATATATGAGACTGCTAGTGGCAGAGTGGCCTAATAACTTAGGCAAAAATTAATATACATACTATTGTTTGTTGTAAATTTATGTTAACAATTTTCGGTCACTGTGCTCTTGTAGAATAACACTTTTAGACAATAAAAATATAAATAACTCAAATCGTCAAATTGAAGTTAGGCTACTCTGCCTCTAGCGGCCTAGAGTACACTGTAAGTAAACTAATAAAAAATGTTTGCTATTTCTACCTAAATACATCGAAGTGTGTTTGAAATAATTTTCCAATTTTTCCCGAATAACACAAAATCGTAACATTAAAAATACAAAAAATTTAAGAGAACAATTTAAGAGGAACTTCGACGGCCGTGAAAAATGTTTTTTTGTTCTTTTTCTGCCCTGTCCTGTATTTTAATACGTTAATTGCAAACAATTCCAGGACTCAAGAAATATGCGCAAGAAGTTACGGAGGCGAGTACAGAGACTTTGCTAACTATTGTGAAATGCAGTATGAAAACTGTAATACATGGCGCAGTAAGTAACTAATGTCAGGAACTTGTTTGCATAGAAATTATTTGTGAGTTGGTTGGACTATTTATCAAGGAAGGCTTTAGGCTAAAACACATCAGACTGCGACCGATAGAAGCGGAGAAACAGAGGGAAATGTTTAAAAAAAATAGAAAATTATTCACCTTTGCCGGCTTTCGTTGCGCTCGCTGCGAAAACGGTTTAATATACTAATAATATGTAAAAAATCAATTTTCCTGTATTGAGTTTTATAAATACTCTCGGTAGTAAAGATAGACCTTTAAAGAGTAATTAGTTAACCGCTATAATTTATAAAACCGGGAAGGTTGTTTGCAAAAATAGATAATAATGAAAAAAAAACTATACCATCACGTGTGGACGGCATCATCAGGAGATGTTAACTCCGATGGCGAAACGTCGAGAACCTCTTCTCGCTCACGTCAGCCGAACAGCCCGAAAAACAATGATATGCTGAAGGATGGCCTTGAAAGCCTTACACAATTTATTAGTTTACATTTCGTATTTTACCAATAAAACTGTTTCATTTATCACATCTAAAACTTTCATACCATTTAACATATTTCATATGGTAACTAAGAACTATTTAATCTAAACACACCCTATTATGAGGTGACTAAAGAGAGAGAAGCCTATCTGCAATTTTATGAGTTAAGTTATTTATATTTTCATAGTCTAAAAATGTTAATCTACAAGAGCACAGTGACCACATTTGGATATATAGGTAGAGAATAATCTAAGCGCAAGATTCTATTTTTACATGCCTTTACAATAAATTTCAAACAAAAAGACTTTTTGTCTTCTAACTCCGTATTGTGATGTTCATATACATATATTCCTTTGTTTCAGATTGGCGTGTATTCAAACGCGAGAGATGTTGACGAAATAAATCTTTATATTTTGAATTCCAAATACATTTTTTGAATCGTTCAACTTATTTGGTATCCTTAAAGGGAAAACATTCTTACGTGTCCTATTCATATTGAAGCCTTTTTGTTCATTATAATTTACGAATGAAAGTAACGCTTTATTTTAATACTAGTTGTTATCGCGACTTTGTCTGCGTTTATTTTTTCGCAAAAATCTCCCTCAGCTTTATATATTATACGCATCCTTGCAACTTAATGTTAAAGGCTGAACATATACTGTGGTCAACTGTAAAAAGCTCATATTGCTCGGAGCGTGATAATATATAGCCTAAAGCCTTAATAAATGATCGATCCAACATAAAAATAATTTTACAATTCGAAATAGTGTTTCCATAAATTAGCGCGTTAAAACAATCAAACAAACTCTTCATCTTTATAATATTAGTATGGAAAATAAAAGCAATGTTAAAAGTATTGTATATTATAATGAATATGACACATGACATAGATGACAGCATATTAGTACTTTCGTGAGAGTTATTTGAGGGTAAGTAAGCTCTGACGAGAGAAGAGATGAATCACCAACGACTAACAAATGCAGATAACTAATGATATGTCTTTCTATTGTTAGGAAAAGCTCAAACAAGCACAAGTATAGTCATTTTCGCTGATAGGTTTTTATTCATAAGATAATAGCAGATGAGGAAAAGCTGATTCAGCTAGGACCCTCGTACTTAAAGAATGGATCGAGTTCTCACTCTTTCCACGTAGTTAAAACTTATATAAGCGTCAAGAACAGCTTATTAAAAACTTCTCATCTTTCTTCTTCTTTTTACGCTTATCTATTTCTGAGATGAGGTAAGCGGACCCTAGTGCACGTCATCACCTAGCCCTATAATAGCTATGCCGCTGGTTTATACTGGTATAACTTCACTTTTCGGGTAGTACTTAAACTTGGCTTAGTTGACGAAATACTAAACATTTGAACTGAATAACTGTCATTTCGAGGTATTTTTAAGCGCTATGTCTCACTATTTAAGGAAATGTTAAGATTTCTTTTTTTGAATAGTTGAACATAATATAAATAAAAAAATGATTATAAATTTTTACGACACTTCATTTGAACCGACATCCACATCGTTCCGTGTTGTTGCTGAACTACCGTCATTGTTGAATTTTTTCAACCTATTGATCAATACACCTCTCGCGCAATGTTAGTTTTTTAACGCGGCTTCAACGCAGCCTTGTTAGTCCTAATTTCAAAGCGCATCTTACACCGTCAAACTATTTTTTCTTTACACATACTGTATATAAACATTTTCGTACCATGTATGTTTGTTCTTTATTTAAATAATACCATTACCTTAGCGTGGGATCTACAACAAAGTATCTGTCAAATTGAAGAATAATTTATTTGATCGTACGTATCTCATATCTCAGAATAAGCCATTCTTCGTGCTCCCGCATACAAATATGTACATTTCACAGAGAATTCAGCTGAATTGTATGACCATAATATGGGTTTACGGAACGGGTTTAAATTATTTTGCATAAATATTTTTTAAATTAAACTACAGAAGTGTAGTTTGTGCGCTCTCTTTTATACAAATGCCATTACATATTATAAAGAAAGAGACAAATATACTATAGTGCGACATATGTATGTCACATTTGTAAGTAAAATAACATAAGTAGACGAAGTTTCACTAAACTCCTTTTCAACTATTTTTACAGTATCGTCGATAGATTTTGCTAGTAGTCCATGTAAAATAAAACACTTTTAACTGATTCGAACTTACCTAATCTATACTTGTTAATTTCTTGTTTTTAACAACCTCACGTAAATGTCCACTAAATAGAGCATAGTTAAAATACTTAATAGGTATATTTATTTTGTTTTCATTTAACATATTATGTGTTGTAATATAGTACATATAATTATATATTGTATGCAGAATTTCATATAATTACATAAGCTTCTATAATTGTAGAGTAACAACGTAGATCTGAAATGTTTTTGTAATACAGTAAAAGAATAAAAACTCTATTGATGTTTGTCCTTACTAATACGATTACTTGGTTATAACCACCCTGTGTACATAGAAATAATAATAGATTGTGAAACGACACGCAAACTTTTTGTTAGAAATATGGCACAATAATATTAAAGATATTCTTTAATATTAATCTTAAACATTGTAGAAAAGCCTTGTACAAAAAAAGACACTACTATCAAGATGAATCGATATAATAAATAAAAATAAGTCGTGTGACTTACTCAAAAACGGCTGAACCAAATTAGCTAAAAATTGTTAGGGAGCTGGAGGGTATTTTAAACACATACATATACACGAACTTGTGCTATTCGTGCCTTAAAAATAATAAAAGTCTCTATGAATACCAACCTTTATAAACATCTGATGTTGAATAAAATAAATTAAAAAAGATATGTTTGTACTCTATCAATGGTAAATTGAAACAAAATTACGACACGGGCGGGGCTCGAACCGGCATCCACGGCGTTCCGTGCTGTTGTTCTAACCAATTGAGCTACCGTGTCCTACACGTCATCGTCGACTTATTTTTTCGGATACCAGTTAAAGTTCTGCCCGTAACGTATTTTTTTCAAATCTATACTCCATTTTTAATTTCTACTCAGTAGCCTTTAGTACTCTTCCTAGCATCGATAGATAAATAGATCTAAATAACTGAATGTCTGTTTTACATACTTGCATCAAACGCCGTAACATAGATGTTGTCAGCATAGTTTTCATAAGAGCCATTAATCAAACCATATTACATTATGCCATGGACGTGTTACGCGTATACATCACTGACAAGCCGACAACGTTGTGTATCTCTAGCATGAAACCAAAACCACATACATCCAAGTCAAATTGTTTACGATTTGTGCCGCATTCCCTTGTTAGCGACCTGTTTTGAGTCTCAATTTTCAACACGTTTTAACTGAAACTACGTATGTAACGTAGGTATTCAATTAAAAACTACATATATAACTTCTTAATTATCTCAAGAGTTTATTCTGAATTGTTATCTGTACTATCTGTGAAGCTGAAGAGTTTGTTATACTGGTTACATGGTACATACTACTGGTTTTAATTGAAAAAGTATTTTCGTGATGATTTAAGCATTTATATGAGGCTTTATGGTATAAAACATCAGACTGTGACAAATAGAATCGAAAAAACAGTAGGAAGTGTGGGAAAATATTCATCTTTGAGGGTTTCCTTAGCGTGCATGCATAAAGGTTGAAAATAACCAAATAATATTATGTATCAAAGAATGATTCCACTTTAAACGATCTAAAAAAAATGTCCGGGACAGTATATGTGTCTCTTTTAAGATTATCTTGCAATCACGTCGGCAAGTGTAACAACTTTAATTTATACAGATGACCAGAGTTTTATAAAATCATTTTTTTATGCCCGAAATAATTATTGTACTCGAAGGAGTCGAATGCGTCGAGTCTGATGATAATATTTATTTTTGAATAAACATTTTTTACGGCTTAATACAAGCAAACCACCAAAACGCCGGGAAAAATGAACTAAATAAGTCATAATTCACGTATCCAGCCACAAAACTTAAAAAATTGCATTTAAGATTACTTGCCAAAAAACTATAACAATATATTTTTACATTCCATTGCATTTGGTTTTTCAATACTAACATTTGATTTAACCACAAAACTAAATCTTTTCACGTTTTTAAATCTAAATCTTAGCCATTTGGCATTTGAATTCCGAGAAATACTCTATGATAAATGTTAGCTGTATTTAAAACAGTTTTTTACATAACTTGCAAAAAATGGTTCATATAAGAAAACTAGTTCGTAGAGAGTAAAGTTAGTAGAAAATCATAAATAACGTTCCCAATGCCGACAAAGCTCCTAAAATCTTATTCGTTTAAACAAGCATAAAACGTATCCGGGCGAAGCCAGACTGCGCCATGAGATATTCCTAACAAAACAAAACGTAACTTCACGTAAGTACGTATCCAACGTAGATAAGTAGTCTTCAGTGTACAGATGTTCAGTATTCATATCTCCCTATCGTATTATTCAGTCCCGTTTCAGCCGCCTTCGACGGTAGACGCCTTATCCTCTCCCGCCCCGAGAACTGAAACTTATTCGATTTTCAAAAGATTATTCTATTTTCAAAAAATCTTTTAAATATCCCTTGTCGGCTCCTGAGTTTCATTCTACGTTTCGTGTTCTTGTGCTGAGTGAAAAACATCAAAATAGGTGTTCAAGAAAGCTCGTTGGGTCGTAATGGTCAGTTTTTTGGAGTAAACGCGTGCAACGGGCCAGATTTGAATTGGACATTATGCTATTACCATATCAAGAGGCTGTTGGGCATTTTGATGCCGTTTTATGATGACATGGTAAGTTTTTTCCAGCGTTTTGTAGTTTGAGGTTAAGGTTAAGTGCATATTTGAAGGTCAGAATGAATAAGGCATAAATTAATATTATATTAAAAATTTCAACCTGTAAAGAACTACAATATATTTTTTAATCTACATAATTTGGTGTGCATCGCTGGTTCGAGATTCGTTGTTTTTTTTTTCGAATTTATAATAAATACATTTAGTTAATTTACTAAATCTGTTTTTAAAAATAAGACACGTTCTGAGATATTATGACTGTTAAATTAAACGTGACATCAATACTTATTAATTTAAATCAAATTCTTAAAATCTCCTTGTACAAAATTCAATTAAACTAGCATCATTTATATATTTACTTTTTTTTTACACAAGTACACATACCTTAAGTATGATTTAGTAAACATAGCATAAACTGCTTGCTAAGTAGCTTACTTTGAAAAACTTCATAATATGTCTTTACTATAGAAATATATAAAAAAGTGAAATTCCGTTTCTGGATTTCGTCACTGATCGATTTTAATAAGAAGTCAAAAATTAACTACTTACCCGTAAGTAGTTAATTTTTGATTTCTTTGTACCCGACCAAAATCAAGTTCTTGTTTTCCCGATATTATTACCCAGTAACCTTCCTTACTGAGTTAGGTCCGTAAAGTTATTAAATTTGTTTACACTAATGTTATATAAAAAATATTTTTTAGGGACTTTTCTATCGACTACCTTCTTTTAGCTAATTCTGTATCTCCTCGATTTGAACTTAGGATCCGTATATAACGTAATGCGTTTATAGAGAGCCATTTTAGCCATTAGCCCTCATGGGGCATGGGGCGAAAACATTTTTGTGTCCGATTCACTGATCGAGTTTTATGTACAGACAAGTAATTGATCAGACTTCGGAACTCTGCCCGACGAAAACAATTTATTGTTTCCCCGGGTTTCGAACTCAGGATCTCTCGCACTTAACGCAATGCTAGGCCTCTGTAGTTCAACCATTTAACTACAGAGGCGATCATATATGTACCTTAGGGAAGCAAAAGTTTCACGATTATAATAAATTCCATATTATAATTACAGTCGAATATTCAAGAGTGGCATTACGTTTATTGGTACTAACGTTTATTGCGCCGTGAAATTTTATTAAAAGGTCAAAGAAATATGGCAGCAATATCACGTAAAACCTATTAGTTACACCTATAGTATGAAATGAAAGACATTGAGCCAAGGACGCGATTGCCCCGGGGACGTAATACTTAATTACGAGAGTCGTCCTAATTTACCATGAAATAAGTTTACTTATTAAGCCTCTTGTGTGCTAAGGTATAAGTCTGATATCAGATATAAATTAAATAAAAACCAGCGAGACAGCAACAGAACACAAAAGCGATATAACTTCTATTTCTACTTTATTGATAGAGGAGGACAAAAACTACGGGCAAATGCGATGCACTTCGAACCATTAATTTCCAGATTTCCAGACGAAGTGTAAGACATTTTAGAATACCTATAGATGGATTGAAAACATGATCGCGATGACCCGGTGGGGAACAAACCCACGTCCCGTTAATTACAAGAAATACATTGCTATCATCAACAAACCCGCCAAAATCTATAAGTAGTACGCCTAAGCTATCATGGTAGGTTATATAACTGAAGTCTCTTTGACTGCCAAATATTTATTTTACTTTACCATATTTTTTTGTGTTCCAAGAATTATTTATTAATACAAATAGGTTATTTATTTATTTATGCAATGGAGTACTGTAATTATAAAAAATCGTTTGAGTGACAATCTTACCATCTTTGTGCAAAATTTCATGATTATTCATTTTGTGTGTTCTTATGAGCAAAAAATAACGAATAATCAACAAGTACTATATGTAGAAGCAAAGTTTTCACATAATTTAACATCGTTCGTAATGCAGAAGACTCGAACTAAAAAAAAAATGTGTCAAGAAAACGTTTAACCTGCACAAATGTCGTATGCATAAAAAGATCTTACTTAATGTATATTTTATGAAGACGGGTCGCCTTAAAGAAAACTGTCTGTGAGCCGGAGACAATTATAATCTGACATGACAAGTTGTCGTGAAGAAAAGCCGTAAGCCATTTCCCTTCTTAAAACTTATTACTGACGACGTTTTATTGCTATATATTTAATGATTAATTTTTATTAAATTTATATATTGTATTTTTTTAAATTATTTATAAAATATACAATAATGCATAAATATTTTCTACTGTTGTCTGAATTACAGAGATTAAAAAGATTAGAAAGACTCGATCGCATAAAATTAGTTAAAAATAAGACGGGTTTTTTTATCAACGCCATGTTTAAAAAATTAGATTTTTATCTACCTTTATAAAAAAAAATCGACTCGGGCAGGACTTGAACCGGCATCGTCAGCGTTCCGAGCGTACGTACCTACTTGCTTGGTACGTGCCGTACCAAGCAAGCAAGGTTCAAGTCTTGGCCGAGTCGATATTTTTTAAATTTATTTTTGATTTTTAAAGTATATAGTGCCTTCATGTGCAATAACTTGTAAAAAATAATACAGTTTTCAAACTGGAACATAATAAATATAAGTATACGTCTACGCGACATGTGGAAATAATAATTATGTCCTGTCTATATTTCAAGTGACCGCATCTCTAGCTTGGTTAATCGTGTTGTCTAGCATTGCGTTAAGCGCGAGAGGTTCTGGGTTCCCGGGAAAACAGGACCTAAATTGTTTCGGTTAAGCAGGGCGCAGAAGTCTGATCAACTATGCCTGTAAATAAAACCTATCAGTGAAACGGACACAGTAATGTGTTCGCCCTATTTCCCACGAGGAGAAGTACTTTAATACAAATTTAACAACATCAACATCATAACCAACTTTTATTATCTCTATTATCGTTTTTTCCGCATTTCCCTTTGTTTCTTTGCTCCCATTGATGCGTGATATTTTAAAGCTTCCTTCCCCGATAAATGCTAACCAACACAATTTTTTAAATCGATCGAGTGGTCCCTAGGTATAGCCGCGGTCAAACAAACTCTCCGTTTTATAATATTAGTATAGATATGTTATCCATACTAATATTGCATACACCAGACATAGAAAAATAACACGAAACAAAGGCAATACCTACAAGAAAAACTTACAGATTCCTCTCCTAATGGCGTCTTGTTTGTTTATTTGTTCCTTAGGACTACGGTCTAGTGGCACTTGACTGTAGGTTAAGTGCCAATCCATGTATTTCCTTTCCAAGGAGAAAAGGATACCGTTTATAAGAGAATTTACCTTTTACCTACCTTTATAAGAGAAACTGTAAATGAATGTATATTTTATATATTTAGATTATCAAACGACCAGATGGTAATCGGTTCTTTTCATTTTCCTCAAAGATAAAAAGGCTGAATAGCGATATTTTTAAACAACATCATCAGAGTGCATTTGGTTTGTGTGGATAAGATCAACCTTTTATCATTCCCGGGCTCGCTGGTCTATCGGTAGCAATGTATGGCTAATAATCAGTGGGTAGTAGATTTGATTCCCAACATGTCAATCAATATATCATTTTTCTAAAAACATATTGTACTTCACCTGGAGAACTAGATGTTAAATTGGTGGTTGAAATAGCGATATTCCGTCCAGTGGGACTTATTTAGTGACGTCTCGATCAAATTTCAATTCAGTCGAATGGTATTCTCCCAATTTGACAGCTTCGTAACAAGTGATGCACGCCAGCGAAATGTCGAATACACGCTAGCGTCATGCAAACCGCTTGTTTGACATTAGACGAGAATACCAAAACAACAAAACATCACTGCAACTGCGCTGTTGCTTAACATATATACAAGTGCTTAACAGTACGAGAGTCGGCCGACGACTCTCGTACATCAAGTCACTCGTCTCGTACATCGTCAGTCTGAACCACCAAGCTCAGATAAAAAAATCGTGACCTTAAATTGCCTTTTGGTTATAGCCAAAACAAGTCGAAGGCATCTTGTTTAGATGTTTTATGGCTGGAATATTTCACCTTCCATTAAGTGAAGCCATGGTTAACGTTGTAGATCCTGGGAAATCATAAATATCTCTGTCAGGTTGTGTACAGAAATTTCATCATCTACTTACAGACAAATTCTCTAATAAAATAGACATAGTGATATGTGCGCCTACTGAAAATTCATGTCAACTTACGAAATCGAAAAAAGATTAGTAAGCCGAAGATTGTATGAGTTTGCTGATTCCTTTCAGCTATAAGTTTTCGTCTTTAGATAGCCTCCATAAAGTCACCTATTTTTTTATTTATTCCACCCTTAACAGTTCACTAGAATTGTTGGTAGAATCCATCTGCATCATCAGTGTATATTGTAGAAGCGTCAGTAAAAATAAAATTCATTAATTCATCGATTGTTTAGTAGTCAACTTTTACACTTTAAACTAAACCTCTTGACCGACGAAGAATCAATATCAAACCCATCTATAATTATTCCATATCTCACTAGAGAACTATTAAAGCGTATAACAAAGCGTGCGAGCGAGACAAAAAATCACTCACCTAAATTAATATCCGTGAAAATATTGATAAATTACACAAGAAGCAAAACAGACGCGCACATAACCTACTTTTAAAACGCTTTTCAATTGTTTATATTAACTCGATAAATCTATTATAAATTGTAAACACACAGTAGTATATAACTCCGTTCCTATAGCTCAAAGAAAATAAGACTGAAGAATAGTCCATGAATACCTGCGTAGTACAGATAACGGAAAGTTTTGTAATGTTTTTTCTAATATCATGTGTAGCTACAGATGTATATCCCACTGTTGGGCACAGTTCTTTTCTATGAAAGAGAGACTTGCAGACCCATGTTGCTCCAGTACATGTTGATGGGCTTTACCTTCTCTCACCAACATCTTAATCATGATATCATGGCATGGCAGCGGGGGCTTCGCTCTCTGCAATATGGTTACATCCCAAACTCTGAGCTAATATTTTATTCTTCTTATAAT